CAAATAAATTAATTTTAAAGAAAGAAACCTTTTTGTATAATACATAAAATAAATTTTAATGATTATAATATATAAATTTGTTGAAATAGAACTGCTGAGTAATTCTTATACACCATCAGAAGATAGAATTAGAGAAATTTTAAAAAAGGAGCCTCAGAGATCTTTCTAATTCATTGTCCATCAATTATATAAAGCTGTTTTCTGAATGAAGGAAATACTCAGGAACACAATACATTCACACTTTTCAGTAGAAAAACACCAACAACTGTCTCTGTCTGGAGACAACAATTGCCTCTTAGACAGAGGTTTGGACAAACAGCCAGACAATCTTTGTTTAGGTGAAAAAGCTTCAGTCCATTTAAGTCATCTGAATGCAAAATTCGATTTCCTTCTTCCAAAACCATAAAGTACTTTAAAAGTATAAAAAAATCAGAATTTCTAGACAAACTTAGAAATCTATACTAGTTGAATTTTATCACTCTGCTAATTTTCTCTGTTTTAAAATAGTTTATTAAGGCATCCAAACTTGCAGTAAAAGCACCATAATTTTTTTCTGACATACACTGTATACATGGTAGAAAATATGTCTTAATATTATGTATATTATATGCAATGCTTGCATATTAACTATACTTCTGAAATGTTATGTCTAATCCAGTTATTTTATGTTTTATTACTTTCCACCATGACAAAACTCTTTAAATGATCTTATTTTTATATATAGGATAAACTACAATCTTAAATAATCTGAAAATAAAATATAGCTAAGTATTTGAATTATTTTATGTAACACTTACCCTAAATGAAGAGGAAAAAGAAACATGTGACCATACAGTTTTTAATTATATGTATTATCCGATATCACATATGGCAGAATGCTGTGTCTCTGAACTTGAAACTGCTGTTCTTGCAGGGTCACATGGCCATCAAAAAAGAGGTCTCTCAATTAGTTCTCTTGCCATTTTATTTTTTATGTTTTGGTTTAAAACCCAAATATAACACAGCTTCAATTTTACTGGGATGTAAATACCACTTTGTAACCTTAACTTTGGTTTTTGATTCACATTTTCTGATAGAAATTGTAACACAGAGTCTCCTTTTTCTGAAGGACTTTGTTAGAGTATCCTGTAAAGTTACTGGTGGTGATAGAAAAAGAGTCAAATGAGGGATTTTGAAAGTCAGCAAACTCAAATATTGAGATTACAGTCTCACAAAGGAACATTTAATCACTAAAGTTATACATGGAGATACCTGACTTTGTTTTATTTTCCTCATACGCTATTTATTGCCTTGGATTATACCAGAGCCAACCTTCAAGGGCACCTTGCTTGGACTCCCCATCTTGATAGGAACAGAACAGCAATGCTTGGCAGTGAGCACTCCCCTGACCTTAAATACACACACTTTGGGTAAAGTGTGTCCAAGGAGCTGCTGCATAAGAACTGGGGTCTTCTGTGTTCCTCCTGCGTCTCCTGTGACAACTCCCTACTGAGGACAGGGCAAGAGGGTAGACAGTGAGATCCTAGCACAAGTGCTGTAAATTCTCCATCTCAATTATAATAAAAGATCCATTCTAAAATAATATATGAACACACACATGTATTGTTATATTAGTTACTATTACCTAGAATTAGGTTCAGTAGTTCACTTGTCATTAAAATTTAACTTGTTTACGGCGTAAAATGCAAATGTTTACTTTTCATAACCATGTTTCAAGAATTATATTCTGATATGTTTGCTCGGCTGCATAAGGGAAGAAAAACTTTCAACAGGTTTGACTCTACAAGAAGGGGTTCTGTTTAGCATCAGCTCATGGGCACATATTTGCAGGTTGGTACAAATTAGCCTCAGCACTACTTGCAGAATTTGATGCTCCAAATTTATGAGAGTTGTTTGAAAAGCTATAAAAAGAAGGAAGAGTTTACTCAGTAAAATAAAGTGAAATGTTGTACGAGAGGCTCACCTACTTCTGTTAAGTTCCTTGTGTCAGAATTTAAAATAAGCACATCATATTTTTTCATATGCTAAGTCTTCTCCTTGGAAGTCGGCAGATTCATTTTCATGGCAACAGCCCAATGTTGAAATCTATGGGAGCAGTAATTTTTCAAATTGACTGAATAACTAATCAACACTAAAGAAAGAGTTGCTGTCTTTCTTCAAGGCAGAAGCAATGAATTCTGACATACAATGTAGCAGGTGGTGTATAGGATAGGGTTTTTTCTTAGGATAACACAAATTGATACTTAATTTTGAGGCTTATGTTGAATGAATGTGGTGAAACATATTATTACGAACTGCATCTCCCATTCGTTTTGTTCTGAGAAAATGACAAACGATAAAATAATGAGGAATAAAACATCTTTTACACTTTATTCATGGTTATTCATTAATTTCTTAATTGTTTCAGGGTACAACGTCAGGAGGGTCTGCTTCCACAATGTCATATTTTATCTTGTGATATGATTTTTCAAAATGGTAAAAAAAAATAAAATAAAATAACAGGTCTGGTGTTAGCGCAGAAGTTCAAAGCTCCACCTGGAGCGCTATGGCGCCTCTGAGGGGCGGCTGAGAGCGATCACAAAGGGTCGGTGGCTGCACTTAAAACAGTTGAATCCGGAGCCTCGAGGAGACGTGCATATCATTGCTGATACTTCCTGGGGCGTCGTGTGTGAACCTGACTACAGTCTTTCCACAGACAGAAGCCCTCTGTTTGGGCGGAAGGCATTATAAATAAGTTTTCTGTTGAGATAGTTTGCAATTTCTCCCGTTTGCCTTTTTGTTTCTTCCTCCTCCCTAACCAACTGCCCTTCCTCTCCTACCACCTCCTGTAAGTTGGAAGCCATCAATTCATGTATTTAAATGTCCTTGGAAACTGAAAGTAATCTAGAAGGTTATTAGCATATTGTTATAAATGTTAATGGCCTGACACCAAGGATGGGCTTTTTCTTTTATGAGTGTTGTGAACACTGAGTTTAAATGGGGAAAATCTTCCCCATTCAGAGTGTCGCCCTGGCCCTTCATTCACATGTCAGGAGCCCATTGTGTGACCAAACCTTGTCAGAGGCTTCTAGATGTTTAGTGGCAGCAGCTTGCCATTGAGAGCTGGGAAGAAGGCTGCTGGGATGGCAGAAAGACTGGCCTAAGCAGCCAGGTGGTGGCCAACTGGCCAGTAACTGACAGACAGTGTAACCTAACGAGGCTGTACAGTTAGGCCTGCGTTACAAAAGGCCCACATGTGTCCTTAGCAAGCTTCATTAACTCTTTTGGCTGGGGCTCTACTCCCCTGACATATTAATTAGTTGCATTGCTTTCTCTTACTTCAACTTAACCTTTCTATTGGTCACTCAATTTGATCCATTGGAAGCATTTACAATAATATGTATGCAAAATTACCGGGAGAAAAAATAACTGTAGGAGGAATAAAATATTTTCTGTCACTGGACTGATTTTATATGAAACAATAATGATAAAATGAAAATGATTGATCATTAATATTTTACCCAGAAGGTTGGACTATTCCATATTGTTCATAAAGATAGGACATCAATTACTGTGTAATTATGTGCTGTGATCGGTATAAAATTCTCTTCCTTTCTTCTGTCTTTGTACTGAAAACAAAGGAAAATACTATAAAACAATATTTTGAGGCATTTTAGATTTTCTTAATGACCATAGTTGACCTGATCTTGGGATTATAAATTGATTCAGGGTTTTGAGTCATTTTCACAAATTAAAAAGTGTTAATGAAGGGAGGCTATTATAAATGTTTTTAAATTATACAAAGTACAGAGCATTAAGAATACAAAAAATGTTTCATATGTATATAGATAGATATAAATATAATATAACCATATTCACTGATAAAAAGTGATGCAATTAGTTGTGTGTAGTCTTTGCAATTTTACATTTCATACATTTATTACATTTCATAATCAAGTGCTATATCATATGAACTATGACTATAGACGTATCAGTATTAAATTTAATGATGGATGAACCTCATTTGTATTTGTTTTTCATTTTTCATATAGAACATTTCTTGGCACAGTTGTTCTAGAGATGTAAATTAATTTAGAAAAGTCCAAAGGCCAGAAATGAATTTTCTATATCTGCACTTGGAAAGCAATAAATCTTCAATGATATAATGCTTTAAACTTCTCACAGCAGATTAGTCACCTGTCAAGTCCACTGAGAGTAAATTCAGGCTTATTTGATCATATTATGTTTTGTGGGGTTTTTTTCCAACTCAAGCAGTTTTATTTTATAACCAATACAATATATTCTGAAGAAAGAAAAAAAACTACATAGGAACAAGTACAATGTGTTATTTGTGTGTTTATTGTTAAATTATGAGTTTTCCTTAGCTGTGTGAAATCAATCCTAAAAGTAAACTTTGCCATCCTTTGAAGCTGCATGACTAGAGAGAGAAAAGCTGTGTTCAAACCCGGTCATGAGCACTGCCCCTGCTTACTTTTCGATCAGCCTAATTATATTGTTCCCAGAGTAGTTTGTTAATGACTCTCATTCAGACTGCCTCTAAAATAAGCATGGCCAACATAATACCCATAGGTCCTTAAGAGCGGGAACTTTACAGACACACAGGTCCAGATTTGAATCCTGGTTCTTTGCCATGCATAGCTCTGTGGCCCTGGGGAACTTGCTAAGCCTTTCTGAGCCTCAGCTCTCTTGTCTGGAAAGCAATGAGAGCTACCTTGGGAAGTGATTTGGATAACAATAGCTCTTATTATTGTTTTCACAATAAAATTCTGAAAAATCATAGCATTAAGTCATTTCACAGAAATAAAAATACAATATTTGCAATTAAAAAATAGAAAAAATAAGCATATCTTAGGCAATTGTTGAGGTTTAAACCCATATTGGTTAGTTTTAAACCATATAAAAATAATATAGTGTCACAATTTAAGAAAAATAGATGATCCCTTAAATACTGGCTAAACAATGTTCAATAATACACAGAGGACTTTAAAATGCCTGTGGCAGTGCTCGCTTCGGCAGCACGTGCACAAGTGGAACGACACAGAGAAGACTAGCACAGCCCCTGTGCAAGGGTGACACGCACATTTGTGAAGCCTTCCATAGGTTTTAAGAAAATAAAATAAACAGAAAATACCTGTGGTAAGCACCGGCAGTCTGGCGGCACCTTCTTCTCAGGTGTCCTCGTGTGTATTTTGAGTGTATGTTTTGGGGAAACAGAATTGAACCTGGGGGTAGAAGCAAGAAAAAAGTATCCAGCTATTACAGAGAACAAACTCCAGAAGAATACTATGTAAGAAACATGACTTACAGAGATGAGTTGTTAATTGAAATGAATTGTTTAATTTGATAAGTGCACAAAATTATGTAAATTATCTGTTGGTGAAAGTTGCTCACTAAATGTCAAGGAGGCTCAGTGCTGGGTTATCTTCTCTTTGACCCTACGTGTTCCCATAAATTCACACAGTGAAAAAATATAGATAATAAAATCTATCTTTACTGTGTGAATTTTCTTCATAATCAGGAAGAAATCTGAATAGAACTGACCAAGGCATGGTGTGGTATTATGAATATTTGTTATTGTTTTTATTAGGGGAATATGATTATTTTCAGTTATATACAATAAAATCATCTGGACTGTGTTTGGGTTGGTCTTTTTAATCCATTTATAAACAGCATGTGCACTTACATAATTTGCACATCACTTCAGAGGGTAAGTTATGGAAAGATTGATTGGAGAGGGTATATTTTTATTGTATTCTAGAAAGTCTGTCATTTTTTTCCCCTAAGAATTCCTGTCTTGAATGTAAATCAGAATTTATCATTACCCTTAATTTTTAAATTATAAGCTGGAGCCAAAGTCGTGGAAACATGCATCTTGATAAAAAGTTATTCTTCCTTTCTTTCCTAAGCATCAGGTGAAATCATGAAACAAATATCAGAGTATGATATGTAGGGAGGTGGTAATACTTTGTAAAGGCAGGGAGTCTGTAAAGAACTTACACTAGTCAATTGATTCAAATGTCAAAAATTATAAGATTTTTTTGGTTCTTTATTTTTAAAAAAATCAAATGAACCTTTGTAAATTTGACAATGGCATTTGCAAAAGAAAAAGCCATGAGAGCATTTTCCGATATGAGTTTGTTTGTCTCAATTGAACTAGGTGTATACAGTAATAACATGCTCTGGCCCTATGCAATTCCGTTTTAATTAAACCAAGCTTTGAGAATGTGATGACAATAGGTTTTGTAAAGGGAAAAAATAGTGACTGCATTTTTTATTTGACCCTGAACCTTTCACCTGAAGAAATAAACAAAAGTTGGTTGTATTTGGCAATAGAATGTTGACTTTGAAAATATACCCTTTTTATTTGATGTGATATAAAATAATGCTTAAACAAATTGGGTCACAAGTGCCAGCACTTGATAATTTAAAGTGTTGTAAAAATGATTGGTGTTTACAAGTACAATTTGCTCCAGGAAAATTTGGCACCACTTTACCTTGGAAAAGTGTCAATATTTTATGATATATTTTATACCAGCCTTGCTCATATTACAAGATCTGTTCCAAGTACAAGTTCTTGACAACTTTCAACTATTCATTTAAAGTTGTGATTTACAGGTGCAGTGTAATTTCTGGTGATTTTTAAAAGCTCATCATTTTTAAAAACGAAAACACAGGAATAGGGATACGTATATATATAATGTGAGGTGTATTTTGAACTGTGTTGAAATATTATCTTTTTAAGGTTTTTTAATAAATAGGTAAAATCTTTTGTTTTCTTCTGATGGGGTTTTAAAATAACTATTGATAAATATTAGTTTGCACAATTATTCCATTTTAAGTATTTGATTCCTACAATTTAGTTATAATATTTTTCTTAAAGGGAAGTTTGTTATCTAAAAACTTTCTTTTGGTTTCAGAACCATGCCTGTGATTCTATTATGTCTCTTATATTCTGAAATTCCTGGTGTAAAGAAAAGGAAGTCAGAGGCAAAAGATGAGGAGGAAGACAAGGAAGAGGAAGAGAAAAAGGAGGAGGAGGAGGAGGAGGAGAGTTAGACCATTCTGTTCTCAGGACTGAATTTCTCCTTCTGACTAGGTCACTCTACCTTGTTGTTTTTTAAGTTTTTTGTTTGTTTCGGCCACCACCATCTCCAACCGATTCTATCTGGAGTGTAACTTCCTTTTTATTTTACATGCAAGTTTCACATTGGTTTTGAGAGGTAATTTTAATATTCGAATACAGAAACAAAATATTCTAGTATTTTCTTATTCCATTTCTGTGTTGGTGATGAAAATCTCAATACATTCCACTTTTTGTATATCCGTAGCATAGCACAGTTAAAAAATTATGGGTGTTCTAGTAAAAAACTTGACTTGGAGATAACTTTTTTTACTTATATTCTATATTCTTGTCCTAGTCACTTAACTCTCAGTCGATTAATTTGTAGAATGAGAGTAATAATACCCATCTCACAGAATTGTATGTGACACTAATTTGTAAAACTCTTGACAAATATTAGCTGCTCTAAAGATTACTCAGAACAGGGAGTTTCATAAATGTACTTAATTATAAGTACATAAATAAATGGATAAAATATTTTTCATTGTTGGAATTTTATGTGAATTGGAATTTATCTGCAATATACTATGAAAAAATGAATTGAGGGAAATAAATTCAAAGATCACTTTAAAAATAGTTTCAATTTTCTATGAAAATTAAAATAAAGACAATTTTTGAGTGTTTCAGACACTCATGCAACAACAAACACACACACAACACAGACACCAGACACATATAGCATACAATACAAGATTTTTCTAGACACTGATGAATAATTTGCATAATCAAAACACTTGCCTACATGTGGCATAGCAGAAAGGGCTGATGTGTGTACATGTGTCTCAGGTCTACCACGTCCCCAAATCATTTGTAACTTTTCTAAAGATTTGAAGAGTCACTTTTCTTTGTATGTCTGATTCCATATCTTAGCAAACACTTTTGCCTCGAAGACTGTGCAGAATGCAAGCCAGCTCCTGACAGCAGTTCTCAGCTGCAGGTCTGCAGGAGACACTCTGGGTGTTGTGCTTGGCTTGGTGTGCTGTGACAACTGAGTGCTGGAGTCCCCGGGGCTTCCGTGGGACTGTGAGGCTGATGCCTCGGACTGCCTGTCTATGTTGGAACTCAAACAATAAAAAAAGATTTATCTCTCGTACATCTGCCTTCTCTCTTTCAATCTGATATTCTCTTCCCCACTGGTAAGATTTCAGTCAACAGCTTCCAAGACTGTCACAGGTTGACAGTCCACTGCAGATGCGAAGGTTACCTCTCTCTATTTCTCCTCTAGATTTCCATTTTGTCCATGTTTTTGAAATTATCAGTTAGATTTAAGAATTGGTTTGTTACAAAGGATTTTGAAAAGCCACTCAAAATGACAGAAAATGTAAATAAAACCGCAAATATTCAAGTGTTAGTCAAATTAGTGGTTGTGAATTAAATGCACTATTTCACCAGAGGACCTGTACGTCTTCCTCTGGTAATGAAAGTGTGGCCCAGGCGGTAGTACTGAAAATGTTTTATATTTGTAGTCCTTGTTTTTTGGTGCTTAGTGTATATCCTTTTCTTCCACCCTCTTTTTCCTGACTTATTTTCTCTCTCTCCTTTTTAGATAGTGCATCGCTCAAGTAAATATTGATTGACTAATTTATTATACCCAAAATTTTCCACAAAGAGCAAAGCAAAATATAATAAGTTTTAAAGATAATGGAAGCAATATCTCCAAAAGGAACTAAAATATTGGAAAACATTCTAAGAGATGGACTGTATTATCCATTTACTCAAGTATATTTCTATTTCTATTTTAAATTTTACTATTGACACTTCAGCATGTCTATGGATAGTACTGAAATATTGAGAACAACAATTCTATTAATCCACTTTAAGGTGCAGTTTCTTTAAAATTATGATTCATAAAATAGTGTGAATTAGGAGTGAACAATATTTTGAGGGCTTATTATCCAAAGGGACATATAGCTTTTATATGTATGAATTTTTCAATTAATTTTTAAATATTTATTACAATTTATAAATGTGTTTGATTTCTATATGGTTTTCTTTTTCATTTGTAGAAAGATGGGAATAACATATAAACAGAATGTTGTTAAAGAACATAGGATTTAAAACATATTATAATTGATTTAAGAATTAGAATTGAAAATCTGTCACTGGAATCATGTGTCATTTCAAAGGCACACCAACTATTTTGAAAGAAAGTTTTGTTCTGAACTTTTAGACCTTGGGAAATAATGGCCCCTATGAATCCACTATTTATTACAATGCATGGCGCATTATCTATAAAGTTTGTGGATTAGGACAGATTTTGTATTAGTTATTTGGACGCATTGAAAAATCCATTTCAAGGATTTTTTTGTGTTTTAGGTATTGTTTATTCTTTCTGAATAATGTAATTTAATATTTAAATTATTAATATTTTTATGACTGTTCCAGTTTAAAGGATGCACATTTTTAAAAGCACTTTGAAAATTTTAACTTCCATTTGCTGCGATGAAGAGGAATCTAATGTTATATTTTTGTAGATAAGTAAAGAAAAATAAAGGATACATTTTTATATCAGTTGCTAGTTATCAATAGCATCTGAATCTTGAGACTAAAACCTTTCCTGTATGTTTAAAGTAAAAATGTTATTGCAGTTGGTCATGATATATCATACCATGAGAAAATAGTCAATAAATATGTATGGTATATAAACTATGATAGGGGTAATGTATTATTAGTGTGTGATGTTTTTCTAAAATCAAGGAATATAAATATATTACTTATATTTTATTTTAATATTGATTTGCATTTTCATGTTTTTATCTTGATGAATGTAATTTCTGCTAACTATTTTAGAAAATGTATTTGTGATTTCTTCCAATGTTGAATTATTTCATGTACATTTTCATGTTTTGCTAATAATGTTGTGAAATGATATCAGAGAAGGAAATGACTTGGGGGACTAATATGTCTTTTACTAATATTTTTCCTTGTTTGATTATGATTTCTATATCTGATTTTTTCTTTTCAATTATCATGGGGTGGGGGGG